TCGCCGGAGCCCAGCAGGTTGAGGCTGCGGTGGCCGGGAGCAGCCACTGCACTCCAGTCTGGGCGACAGAGTGGGACTCCAACTAAAAAAAAAAAAAAAAGCAAAGCCTGCAATATCAGTTACAAGGAACTCAAAAAGTATGACTGTCATAAAAGGAGAAATGTCAAAATATCATATGAATAATAATTGATCACAGTTTTGAGGGCTTATATTACACCAGTCACTGCTCTACTTTTTACATGTATCAACTCATTAATCTTTACAATATCCTATGAGGTAAGACCAATTAGCATCCCTGTTTTATTTTATTTTATTTTTAAAATTTTTAATTTTAAAGATAGGGATACCATTCAGGGTTAGGTATACAAAAATTCATTATGCAGGTACCCTTGTTGATGAGGTGTGCCCCCGCCGACAGTTTCCAACTACTGCCAATCCCTTTCTTATAGTATTATGATAATTGTTCAAGGTCCACTTATGAGTGAGAACATGTGATATTCAGTTCTTTGTTTCTGTGATAGATCACTCAGTATTATAGACTCTAAGAATCTCCATTTTATAGATGAGCAAACCGAGGTATACAGTTCATGCAGACAGGACTTTAACAGGAAATCCAATTATAGAACCTGCAAGTTTTAAATCTCTGCCTCTCAAAAAAAAACTTCTGGGGCCAGTAGGTATTAATGCTTCCTCTATCTGCCCAAGAAAGATACCAAAGAGCAGCTCGGGTCTTAGACAATGAGGGTGTATCCAATTGTATATAGGGAAATGAGAAGAGGTGAAGTTAGAATCCTATTCTTCCCTCTCTGCGGAATGGAGCATAGGCTGCCCCGAACTCAGGAAAGTCCCTGCACCATGATGGAGATGACATCTGAATTAGGTGAATTGCGTCTTGTTTCTCATGGCTGAAAGGTGGAGGTCTCCCTCTCCTGAACACTGTGCATTTTTATAACATTAGTAAATGGAAACTTCCAAATGCCAGCTGCAAATTTTCAAATTTCCTGTCTGAGAAGAAAAACTAACATTGTTTCCAAGAACAGGAAGAGATTTGGGGTGAAAGAGAATGCACTGAAGCTGGAACAAGATGATCAATTATGTTACTTAACCAGGAGGAAGGGACCTGTCTCATGACTATAAAGGATCTTGGTCTTCCTCTGATATGACTCAGAATTAATGGAGCTCTGGCTTTCTCAGCTCTGAGTGTATTCAGTTTTGAAATTAATGCTTTGTAATAAGATTCAGCTGTTCAGGCTGAGATTCCAAGAGGATGAAAGTGCTTCCCAGAGCTGTGGAACCCAGATCTCTGTAGCCAGCCCTATAGATGCTCCCTACTGAAATGTTCCTCCAATCTCCATAATATCTTGGGCCAGCAAGGCCAAACCAGGGCTTTCCTTCCTTCTCCAAGGACCTGCTTCACCTAGCTGCAAGCAAGCACAGGTGCTAAAGTGTTGGGGTTTTTAAAAAAATTAATTTTTGTGTTGTGATTTAAAAAGTAATACATTGCCATTATAGGCAGTGATAAGATGATTATATCTAACACATTGAACACTTGTCCTATATCAGGCACTGAGCTCAGGAATCTACTTCAATTACTTCATTTAATCCCCCAACAACTTGATGAAGCAGGTGTTGTAAATGTTGTGGCAGGCTCTCTGCTAGGCGGTAGATGTACAGTGCTGACCCAGAGAGAGGTGGCTCCTGGCCACTTCAACCTGCTCCTGCCTCTGTCTAGGCCCTGCCTGTCTCCCCAGGACTGCTGAAATAGTTATCTTTGCTAATCTCCCATCTTTAGTCTCTCATCTCTGCAGTCCATCCAGTGCCTGGCACTTAGGATATGCTCAGTGAATGTGGAATGAATGAGTGAGTCAATGAATGAACTGTCATGACTCCAGGGGCTTTTTAAAATGTAGTTCTAATATCACCCTTCTCAGCAACTTTCAGAGGTTGCCTGTTTCCTCCAGCATACAGTCCTCATTTCTTGGCCTGATAGTCAAGACTTTCCCAAATCAGCCTAACCTGGATGCTCATCTAAACCCAATTTCTCACCCATTCCTTATATGTGTCAAGAATTTTCTTATCCCACCAATTTTGCCTCCTGTATTTCCTAGCCTCCCTTCCAGGCCAGTGGACTCCTCCCATGATGCAGGTACCCCAGCACCTCATAACCTAGGGCACTGCATAAACCATGGGACAAGTCACCAAGATGTTCCAAGTCTGTATGTCACCACAGCAGGGTCTACCTTCTCACTAATCTACACATCTGTGTACAGAGATTCCCCCCCCTCTTCCTGGTTAGTTGGTTTCAAGTTTCCACTGCCACACGACCTTCTCTGGGAGGCCCTCCCTGACCGGGAGTCTGTCACTCCCACCTCTCTACTCTCAGGACTGTTATCGCCTTCATTTCCACCCCTAACACAGGCCACCTGGTAGGTTATAGACCTGGTGCACAGCTGCCCCACTCCCTCGCAGACAGTTCCACACCGTGAGTTCCCAGAGGGCAGGAACTGTGTTTAATTAATTTAATTCTATTTCTCCCACTGGACTTTGCCTTGTCCTTTGCACTCAGGAGTAGTCAGTGTGCTGTGGAAGTGAATTAGGTCAGAGGGAAAACTGTTACACCTTGACCTCAGTGAATGTAATCGGAGGATGGAGCAAAAAACCCTCTTGACCCTTGTCAGCCTTGAGGCCACGGTGGTTGGTAGGGGATTAGCAAGGGTTTCAGGAGAATAGGAAGATGTGTGTGTGCGGA